CGGTCTCGCTGCCCAGGCAGGTCTCGAACCCACGGGCTCAGGCAATCCACTCACCTCAGCCTCCCAAAGGTGCGGGATTACAGGCTGAGCCACCAAGCCCAGCTAATTTTTTGATTTAATGTAGAGACGAGGTCTTGCCATGTTGCCCAGGTTGGTTTTGAACACATAGGCTCAGGCAATTCTCTCACCTCTGCCTCCCAGCATGCTGGGATTACAAGCACGAGCCACTGCACCCAGCCCAATAAGCCTTTTAAAGATAGACTTAACTTTTTAGAGCAGTTGTAGAAGCACAGCAAAAGTGAGTGGAATCTACCCCATCCCCTCCCCCACCCTCCCCCACCGATGACGTCTTACACCAGAGTCCGACACTTGTTACAATTCATGAACCTTTTTTTTTTTCTGAGTTGGAGTCTCACTCTGTCGCCCAGACTGGAGTGCAGTGGCCGCTCACGGTCACTGCAGCCTCGACCTGCTGGGCTCCAGCGATCCTTCCGCCTCAGCCTTCCAAGTAGCCAGAACTACAGGCGCGCGCTACCACACCCGGCTAATTTTTTTATTTATTGTAGAGATGAGGTCTCGCCAATTGCCCAGGTGGGTCTCGAACCCGCGGGCTCAGGCAATCCACTCACCTCAGCCTCCCAAGGCGCGGGATTACAGGCTGAGACACCAAGCCCGGCTGCATTGACACATCCTTACCCCCATGGTGATTGTTTACATGAGGGCTCACTCTTGGTGCTGCAAACTCTAGGGTCAGTAAAAGTCTTTGTGAAGTGCCCACTACGTGCCGGATGCCACAAGAAGTCTTAGAGCTGGCACGTCGAGGGGGACATTCCCTAACCTGGGGATTCTGTGGCATCTGAAAGTGAATTTATGATGACATGAAGGACCAGGGCTGTGGTGCCAACTCCAGGTAGTGGAAGCAGCTTCCCGTGCTGTTTGGAAATGCAGGGCACCCCTGGAGGAGGTGGGTGGCAAACCCTCCCCTCTGCCACTGACACTGCCGTGAAGGAAAAGTCTGTGAGCCCTTCATTCCACCAGAAACCCTGGCTTGCTTGTTCGTAGCGAGGGGGAAAGTTGGGGGCAGAGACATACCCTCAGATTATTCAGTGGGGGGCATAATGGAGCTTTTCTTCATCAGAGACAGAGATACAACTCGTAGATGAGGTCAGGGGATAATTAGGATGCTCCCTGGCTGGACAATCCCAAAAACGGGCAAAGGCGTTTCTCACCCTTGATCTCCGCAATCAGATAAAAGACAGACGTGGGGCCAAATGACCTGGAGGACCCTGACCCTGCCCTGCAGACCCTGGTTCTGCCTTTCAGACTGTCTGCAGAGCTAAATCTTTTGAGACTAAAATGACAAACAGATTGATCCTCATTTCTCCCCTTTGAGTTCATCCAAGCATCAGCCCTGACCTCCTAGGTGAGATGGTATAGCCTACTCCACAGGTGAGCCGGTGTAGTACTCCCCCACGGGTGAGATAGTACAGCCCTCCCCTGCCAGGTGAGCTGGAACAGCTTCTCCCACAGGTGAATCCTGGATTATTTTTTTGTCCTGAGTGAGGTAAGGGGACAGCCCGAGTCCCACAGTGTGAAAGTAGATTTCTCTAAAACCCTCTCATGCCTTCCAATGTGATCTAGGTATTTGCCAATTTTTTAGCGGCTTCAACGCTATCTACAGCGAGGCTCATATGTTCTGTGATTTTGCCTAGGTGATTTGGAGAAACCCAGTTCCACACCAAGCCACAGATTTGGTGCCAAAGACCCAAGTCTGAATGGGCCGCCACATTCATGCTTTTTATTATATATGAGCATGGCAGGGACAGGTGTGTTGCCCATGTCCCTGGCTTGTCAGGCAACTCACTGGACAGTTGTTTGGGGAAGGGAGGGGTCCCCTTTGACTGCAAGGTGAAGCATCAACTCATTCTCCATCTAGTGTTTCACGTGGCATCTTTAATTTTGGTTTTAGAGCCACTTGCCACATCCCTGTATATAAATCAATGGTTGAAATGATTTTAATACTTTCCAGTTGATCTAATAGACTCCGAATCCCAGGTTTAAGCTATTCCCTGGATCTCTCTGTGGAAATGAGTTCTTCGTAATCTGCTTAAAGTTGAATGGTGGTTTCTTTGGTTTTAAATCTAGGACTTGCAGACTAACTAGGGTATCGCCTCATCTTAGTGTGTTCTCAGTCACGTGCCAACGGCTCCCATACCCTGTCTCCCAAGGGAAGGGCACCTCACTGAGAGGGAGCCCACCCCTTCCAGCATGGACTTTCCAGCTGTGTACGCACGTGAGAGAGAGAGAGAGAGAGAGAGAGAGAGAGAGAGAGAGAGAGAGAGTGTGTGTGTGTGTGTGTGTGTGTGTTTGTGTGTTCCCATCGATGTTTCACCTGTCCTCCAGAAGAACTCTCCTGAATTCCAGAATCTACAAGAGCCCTGAGTAGCAGACACTGGAATGTTGGGTCTCCAGGAGGAACAGAAATATTTACCTATTTGTGCAGGGTATGTGCCCCAGACAGTCTCTCAAAGATTGAACAAGTCTCTGACCCGAGCCTCGGCATTCTCCTGGTGAGACACGGGGCCCTGAAGCAGTCTCAAGACACGAATGCCTCCCTAAAGACCTTGGATGAGAAAGTGTAGAGACTTGGGGTCCCCTCAAACCCAAGTATGCAGCAGCCCACACACCAGCCACCACCCTCGCTGCGGGGCCCGGAGTGTATCCTGGGATTTTAATGCTTGATGCAACTCAAAGACAAGCCACAATCCTTTTCTGGTCAATTCCTTAGTGAGAATGACGAATTTCTTCCCACCCTGCTTCTTCCTCGAGACTCTGCTCAAACCCACACGATGACACCCGGCCCTTGTCCACGTGTGTGACTTCTGTCTCTCCCAGGCGTGCTTTCCCCAGACGGCCCAGGTGCCTCTGTTTTCTTTATAGAGTCCTTGATGGGCCTCTCCAGGCATTTTACATCCCCGTTCTATAAAAGCCACAGGTGAAAAACAAGAAACACCGATCACACGCTCCGTCAATGCTCATCTCAAGTCTGAGTCCCCATGGGCAGTCACCGTGCACAGCAGTTGCAGCCCACTGCTCTGAGGGCCCCTGCAGGTGTGCCCGGCCCCTGACGGCACCCTTGAAGCGTTCAAGAAGGCCTTGGAATTCCAGGACCCGGAGGCTCCCGCGGACCCGCTCTGGATGTGGAAAGTCTTCCCTTTCTTTCATCCCAAAACACACAAAGGCTTGCGGCCTGGGGGGGACCCATGATACTGAAGCCCCCGAGGAAGCCAGCGGGGTGGGTAGAGGTGGGGAACAGTTCCCTATTCCGGGGAGCAAGGCGGAATGACACCTCCTCAGACTCACACAGAACTCGTCCCTGTCGGGGGACTCCAGGACCACCCAGGACCCTACGCCCTTCTTCAACACCCCCAGGGAGAGGACACCTAACACCCTCGATTCCAAACTGACTCGCTAGCAGAAGGGGCCTGGGAGACCGTCCATCCACCCGCTCACTTTACACACTCTTTCATTCATTCATTCCTCAGTGATGGGAATTTCTTCTGGGCCATGAGCTGTGCTGGGCTCAGGGCATTAAGAGGGGGACAGATCAGATATCTCTGCCCCCCTCGGCATGTGAACATGTAGACGAGGACATTAAGCAAACAGACAACGAAACCCACATCACTTAAATCCTGCTGAGCACTCTGAAGAAGAGGGTGGCTAGAGAGAGAATAAGGAATGGCAGGGCTAAGCCTGAAATCATTCCCTTCAACGGGGAGGCTAGCCCGGCTCTGGCTGTCTCCCTAGGGCTCCCACATGTCCCACCATGCCTGCCCCCAAGGCCAGCCTTCCTCCTAGCCAGCCAAGACCCTCACTGCTGCAGAAGAAGCAACAGACCTGCTGGCCTGAGCTCCAGGCCTCGGGAGCCACCATGTCATCAGGGGACCAAGAACATCCTGAATTAGAGTGGACTCGAAGCCATTCTTCTTAGGACCCCCAGAATGCCCCAACACTGCTGGGTCATCCGACTTGCAGCTCAGGACTCAATTCAATCCCCTGCCCCCTCTTCAGTCCAAACCCAAGACCGTCCAGAGGGTCGGGGCACCCTGTCCTCGCTCCACCGAGAGCCCTCTCAGCGGCTGCCCAGAGGCACGACCGTGAAACACGAGACCTAAAT